ACCGGCTAAGACATAAAAATAGAACTTTAGTTTCAATAATTTTTTTTAATGAATCGTATATTGCTTTTTAAGATTCAATAATTCTTCCGGATTCCTAACAAGCACAACCCCATTTTATTACTTTTTGGTTTTAATACTATCTCCGATTCTTAATTAAGTTACTAGTCTGACTTCACACATATTAAGATATAAATTTGACTTTACTGTGAAGTATGTGTGTTAACGAGCCGAGCCCGAACACCCAGAGCTCGAATTCGGCTCGTTAAGGAATTAGGGGTGCTCGTGTTCGAGCTCGAAGCTCGGCGAGGTTTACAAATGAGTTTCGTGTTCGGCTCGATAGACGTTCGATGTTCGAACCGAGCGCTCGATAAGCTCGATAAATATGTCTGGATTTAAAATTTTAGGCGATGCTCGTTAATAGGCTTGTGCTCGAATGATTCGACAAGTATTCGGTTCGTAAATAATCATATTTAAATTCATAAATTCATACTAATTATGTTTAAATTTTGAAATATATATAAATTATATTTAAAATTTTAGGGTGTTCGATAGGCTCGAGTTCAAACCGAGCCGAATACTACTATGTTCGAGCTCGACTCGATTAACTTTTCGAACTTAAAACTCAGCTCGGGTTCGAGTTCGAAAGCTCGTTAAGCTCGGCTCGTTAGGTTCGAAACCGAGCTCGAGCTCGAATATTTCGATAAAAGCTCGGTTCGTTAACAGCCCTACTGTGGAGTGCACTGTTTGAACACTGTTTGGCATTGTTTGAACACTGTTTGACACAGTTTGACACTGTTTGGTGTAAATCATTTGCCAAATAAGGAAAGGTTTGAAGTAGGAATATGGAACATCCCAAAAAGGAAAGTAGGAACTTAGTTACGGGACGGAGGGAGTATTTGTTAAATTATAAGTATTTGTTTTTACTTTTTATTTGTTGTATTGTGACTTTTTAGTGCTTAAATGATAAACTAATTGATGTTCACTGATGATGTAAAAGTCTAGAGAAGGAGGTGAATAGGCTTTTAAAACTTTTCGATTTATGATGTTTTTCTCTCTTTTGTAGTTTGATATTAAACCTTTTGAGAAGTTATAAAATACACAACCAAAGATTGACCTCTTTTTGAACGATTGTTTTTTTTTCTTTCTTTTTTTTTTACTCCAGGGGGTCTAGGGGAGGGGGACTGGGGAAGCCTGGAGTAATCAGGGTTGAAACTCACTCCATTGAGTTTCAAATCCTTATGTGTCTAGCGGGTTTCGAACCCGAGACCTCCCACTAGACACGGTAACCTCACAACCAGTTGGGCTGGAATGCTTGGTTTACACCCTTTCTAGACATAGAAAGAATGGCTTTCTACTTATAGTAAATTGATAAAGGATTGTTTCACTAGCAGTCAAATTACTTTGATTTAACCTCTTGAGAAGTTTTTAACGATTGGTTCACCTTTTGCGAAGTTATAAAATACACAACCAAAGATTGACCTATTTTTGAACGATTAGTTTACACCCTTTCTAGACATAGAAAGAATGGCTTTCTACTTACTGTGTAGCAGTCATTAATTTTTTGAAGAGTAATGCATTGACCTTAAATCTTTCAAATTGAGCAGTCGCTAGTCATTTTCTACTCACTCTCACCACAAGCTGGCCCGCATAAAGAAGCTGGCATTTCTACCTGTAAATATGGAACCTCAAATTGAGCGGGTGAATGTGAATATGGAGATTGGATTCCAGTCACCTATTGCGAATGTGGCCAATAATTGAAACTTTTGACAACATGGAAAACAGAGAATTGTGGGAGAAGATTTTGGAAATGCATTGAAAGTCAATTTATGGTTGTTCATGTTGATGGTAGTATACGTTGATTGTAGTATATGTTTCCCCCCTTTTTTACGAACTGATACTTGATTTGTAGTATATAGTCAACAAGGTATGGTTAAATGGTGTTTTTGCAGACATTTCAAGGGTGTGATTTGATGGAGTGGTTTGACCCTTCAATGTGCAAGAGGTCTCAAAAAATCAATCCAGTGTTGTTAAAAAACCAATATCTATGAGAAAAGAATATGTACATTAGAGATGTAGGTTGAAACATTACAAATGCATGGTTAAAAGCAAAGAAGATGAAGAAGAAATGTAGTAAATGTAGGGCATTGGTTTGTGATGGAGTTATGGAACTAGGCCCAAAGCCTAATTAGCCCACGTCCCAAACTTGGACCTATGAGTCCAAGTCCACGACATGCACCAACGGGCCCAAGCCCAGATCCACTATCTCGTCAGGGCAGCCTGACAAGTGGGCCCAACAACCCTGAGCTCGAGCTGCCCCAACCGATCAAGCCCATCAAGGAGCAGAAGTCTAATAGACCTAAGGTCCAGCGGAGCGAAAGTCCAAGACGGCCTGCCTATCGGTCCAACCAGAAGTCTGCCTTCTGACTCAGCGGGGAACCTGCCTCCAACCCAACAGGCAGCCTGCCTTCCAGCTTAGAGGAAGCCTGCCGTCCAATTCAACGGGAGGGAGCTCGAGTTCACGAAAAAATTGATTATCCAAGTGCAATCACATTCCTTTTTTCTCATACATTTTGCAACCCATTTATGTTTATTTGATTCTAGCACATGAAAAATTGATTGTGTTTGATAGAATACAAGCTCACCATATTCATGAGTTATTGTTTGTCATGAAACACTTGACCAACCTCAATTTCACCATATGGTGTGAACTTGTTTACAGTTGTACCACTCCTCCACGCATCATCAAAGGTGGATGTGATATCATATATTCTGGTAAAGTGACTAGACGGGGTAGTTGCACTCACAATATCATCATCATCATCATCATCATCATTGCCATGCCCATCCAAAAACAATGCACCATTATGTAAATACCTCCCATCCTCCTCTACAACAATGTTCAAAATAGCCTCATTTGCAGAAGCAGTTGCATGAACACCATGCACATATACGACATGGATTGATGTCGAGGGAGTTATAATAGCATCTAAACTTGATTCTTCAGTGTATATCTCCATTGCGGACATAATCAGGTTCAAGACTAGCGTCCACATTCCCGTGACAGCTCCCTCTTCATCAAGTGGCATAAGCATGTATGATCCCTGTGAAAGAGATATTTCACTTTAACTTCCAAAGAATTGCTTTGATGAATATATGTAGCTACATATATTTTTTGCATCAAGTCTTGCATACATGCGCCACGAGAAACAATAATAATCCATCGTTTACCCCCTTCATAATGTATTCCACCTGCTTCCTCAATGACTTTTCCTCCCCAATGACAAACTATGGAGAAGTTGGAGACATTCATATTCTAATATAACACATATACCTGATAAGTAATCACACACCCGCGCGCACACACATATAAATACACATTATATACCAAAACTTCACACATATACACACACATTATATACCCAAACATTAAATTCACAAAATGAATCATACAAATACATGTAATCATATTTAAGCAATATTTTTGTTCATTATCATTACACTTGGCAAGAAAAACATATTAATTTAATAGCAATTATCATGAACAACACAAAAAAACCTACATTTGAATTCCTAAAAATTATCTACCAACAAACCCTGACTTGGATTTTAGAGATGAAATTGGTCTTTGGATTTACCTTGAAGAGATGCACTTGGAGAAGATGGACTCTTGGAAGCCGGATTTAGCGTGTGCCGTTTCCTGTCACCGGTTAGCTCGAGGGGAACCGCCGAAGCTTCTACGACTTGGGGGATTGGGTGGTTATCGTTCATCTGCCGAAGAAAGCTGTTGGGCGACAACATTTTAATTGGAAAGTTGTCAAACAGATTGACAATTTATAAGTCGTCAATCCATTTGGCAGCTATCCCTAACTCGGATTAAACCCATTAGTATATCCGTAAATACTTTTAACCCGATCCTAGGAGAAATCACGCTTTCAGTCTCTGAAATAGTCATCATATTGAAATGTCAGACTCGTATTTCGAGATTGTAAATGTTACCCCTGAATTGTCCAAATTGTTGTAAATGTGGTCCTTTGAGGGTGAAATGTACTCCTCGTCCACTTTGTACATTTCACCGCTCAAGGGACCACATTTACACCAATTTGGACAATTGAGGGGTGACATTTACAAATTCCAAAATACGGGTCTAATGTTTCAATATGGTGACTATTTCAGGGATTAAAAATGCGTTTTCGCCGACCCTATTTACGTAATTACTTTTTTAATTCTCATTACTCCGGAAAAAATTCTTTAAATTCAAAGTTGAGTTATCTATTGCATTTTACTATGAAAGTATTTGGGCTTTTTTTTCGAAAAATTCTTATGAGACAATCACTTTTAATTCTAAAACTACATTCAAAACACAAATATATTTACATCATGTGCATTGCAGTATTGCACTAGTATATCACCATTTTTTACTTTTTAGAAGCCAATCTTCTATTCTTCTCACATCTAAATTGATGGCGATGATTTCTTACGGGATAAGGGTCAGTTTGGTACTCGAAGTTGCAAAAAAGGAGTCAAACAAGTCCTTATATAGAAGATTCTGTCCGGACGTGCCATTTGAGGTGGCTCCCAGTGGAAATTTTTGATGAATTTTTTTGAGCATTTTATTCATTAAGTCTATTTCACTCATACCAAATTTTAGCTAAAAATTCAATCGAGAAGAAATTCAAATAAATTCTTGAAGATAACTGCGCTTTTATCTTCTTAACGGCACAGTTATCTTCAAGAATTCATTTGAATGTCTTCCCGATTGAATTTTTTATCTAAAATTTGGTATGAGTAAACTAGATTTAATGAATAAAATGCTAAAAAAAATTTATCAAAAATTTCCACCGGGATCCACCTTAAATGGCACATCCGGACAAAATCTTTTATATAAGGACTTATTTGACTCTTTTTTGCAACTTCGAGGACCAAACTGACCCTTTACTCGATTTGTTACTCTATATTTTACGAAGTACTCCGTATGTCCCAAATTATATGACCAGATGCATTGACTATAGTGTCCTTATATTTACCTTTATAAAGCACTTTCCCTTCATCCAACTCTCCTATCCCCTCTTCCTTCCCCCCATCGACATCCCCCTAACACTGTCTTCTTCCTGACAATGGGCAAGCCTTTAGTTCTCGTTCTGTTAATGCTCGCCGTCGTATGTTCTGCTGCGGCGGAGATGTCGATCATATCATACGACGAGCAGCATCCGGCGAAAGGATTGATCCGATCTGAGGAGGAGATCAAGGAGCTGTTCGAATCGTGGCTTGTGAAACACGGCAAGGCGTACAACGCTGTCGGAGAAAAAGACAAGAGGTTAGAGATCTTCAAGGATAATCTCAAGTACATCGACGACCAGAACAGTCTTGAGAACCGGAGCTACAAGCTAGGGTTGAACTTTTTCGCCGATATGACAAACGAGGAGTATCGCACTGGGTACCTCGGTACCAAAAGGGATGCTCGCCGGAAGACTCTGAAGAGCAAGAGCAACCGGTATGCTCCGGTGGAAGGCGAATCGTTGCCGGACTCTGTTGACTGGAGGGAGAAAGGTGCTGTCTCAGAGGTCAAAAATCAAGGAAGCTGCGGTAGGTTACGCTCCTTTGCTCTTTGTCATATGCCTATTTTACCCTTTCTAATATGCTCGTATTTGCTCCCGGATCCGCCTTTACTACGTGTTTGTTCCCGGATTGGGTAGATGGGTGGGTAAAAAAGTTTATTTTTGAATTGTTTTGTTCCGCTTTTTTATATTTTCGTGTTACTTTGTTTGTGGTGGAGAGAAATAACAAGTTCTATACTCTGCAAATTTTGATGAAATATGACATCACGTCTATCCTCAAGACATTATTTATGATAATAATAACAATAGACTCCGCATTTGAATTATAGTAATAACCATAGAAAAAGATCAATCTTTTTGAGTAATATATAAGATTGAACCAAATCAAATTTAAATAGATCATCGACCAAACCAATCTCATACGGAGTATAATATTATATTACTCCTATTCCTATATTTATCTACATAGTTTTCTTTTCATTTATCCCCAAATTATTACTCGTTCTTTTCTGTCTGGGTAAATTTTAACCAGTGAACAACGCCTAGTGTATTTGGATAATGAATTATGGACTGGGAGTATATCATTAATGCAATTAGTGTAAGTGTGTATTATTATGAATTAATTTTCTTACACGAGTAATTTGATATAAAACCAAACTTATAATCTTCCAATTTGTAGAGATGGGCAAGAGGATATAATATACTCCGTAAAACCCTAATTTTATGATAATGAGTTGATGATAATAACAATTTGATGAGGAGATGGAAAAATCTTTTTATTTAAATTAGCTGAGAATGAAGGAAAATTCTACAAGTACAAAGAAACTTACAAAAACAGTCACACATAAGTGATATGGCTATTGGAATCACTTCTAATATAAAAGCCATGTGATGTGCTACACAATATGATGCTATCGCATAGCTCTTTTGTAAGAATTATTTTAAGAGTGTATGTACCTCTGGCGTAACTGGAGAATGAAACAGGGAGTTGCTGGGCCTTCTCAACAATTGCAGCTGTTGAGGGAGTGAATAAGATTGTTTCCGGCAGTCTGGTCTCACTGTCTGAGCAAGAACTGGTTGACTGTGACACAAGCTATAACGAAGGCTGTAATGGTGGACTGATGGACTATGCTTTTGAGTTCATCATCAAGAACGGTGGCATTGACACTGAGAAGGACTACCCGTATACCGCTAAGGATGGAAAATGTGACTCCTACAGGGTTAGTAACATCGCTTTTGTCCTGCTAAATTGCTAATTACTGTCTATATTTATAAGATCATAAATTGAGGATTCGTATGGTTAGATTGGTACACAGAAAATAATATTCCATAGCAATGAAAAACTGTTTACTACTACATATTAACTACGGAATAGACATTCATGCATTTCAATCATGCCATTAGTTTCTTGAAAAGTAATCCTCAGAAAGTATCTTTATTGACATCATTTTTTTATTTTCATGCCAGAAAAACAATGCCAAGGTTGTTACTATTGATGGGTACGAGGATGTTCCTGTAAACAATGAGGCGGCCTTGAAGAAGGCACTAGCAAATCAGCCCATTGCTGTTGCTATTGAAGCTGGAGGGATGGACTTCCAACTCTATGAATCGGTAAGTTTTGGGTTTTGGTATTTATTAGGCCATTTGCACTGTTCTAAACTGCCAAGATGCATAATTTAGAAAAAAATATTTGCAGGGTATATTCACAGGATCATGTGGAACTGATTTGGATCATGGTGTGGCTGTTGTTGGGTACGGTACAGAAAATGGTGTTGATTATTGGATAGTTAAGAATTCATGGGGAGCTGCTTGGGGAGAGAAAGGGTATGTGAGGATGCAGCGAAATGTGAAGGCAGAAGCTGGATTGTGTGGTATAGCTGTGGAGCCTTCTTATCCAACAAAGACTGGGCAAAACCCTCCACCAAGCCCTCCAACACCACCCGCTCCCACCCCAGTCCCTCCATCCCCAGCAGCTCCCAGTGTTTGTGACCGATACAATGCATGCCCGTCTAGCACCACCTGCTGCTGTGTCTTCCCGTTTGGGAACTACTGCTTTTCATGGGGATGCTGCCCTTTAAATAGTGCTGTGTGCTGTGAGGATCACAACAGTTGCTGCCCTCATGACTATCCCGTTTGCCATGTTAGGTCTGGCTCCTGCACAGCGGTATGTGTTTCCTCTATCAGAACTCTCATGTTTTTGTAATATTACATTCATTCATAGTAATATAAGTAGAAATAATATAAATTTTAAACAATCACATCAAATGTAATTATTTCTTCTATCATCTTAACTTATAAGATGAAGTCATGTAATATATATATAAGCATATTGAATTCAAAAAAGCAATTTGGTCCTGATATTGTAAATATGGTCGCAGAGCTTTCAGCATTGGTCGATTTTAACAATGCACCTCTTGTGAGCCAAAGTAGAACAACCATTTTATGGAAAAAGTTGCATAAATAGGACTATAATACAAAACATTTCCATAAAACTAGACTTATCTTTTGTCTTTTTTAGGCAGGAACTCATTCACTTTTGAATAAGAATTATTAACCACTCCATTATTTTTGTAGTACTGATTGAGTTATATGGTTAGCACAAACCGAGTTACTCCTATTTGTGTACCGACACCTGTTTTACTCATATTTGCGGTAATTTCATAATAAAATACTAACGAAAGACTACTACACATTGGACAGCTACTCTTATAATATTGATGTTGTGGGATAGAGTTCCTAGTATGATTCTACTTGGTGCTTATGTTGTGGGTTACCTAAGTGTAGTTGTTTGATACAGGGTAAAAACAACCCACTAGGGGTGAAGGCAATGACACGCATTTCCGCTCAACCTCTGCGGGCATTCAGGGATGGGGGAAGGAAGAGCATCAGTGCTTAGTATTGTTATGAGCCAGTCCGAGCTTTTGGGATGACAAGAAGGGGGAAGGGAACCATTGCAAGTAGAAAGGGGTGTACACTGAATTGCGCCTTTCAACTCCATCCTAAAGAGCTTCAGAATTTGATGATGGGCTCATTATTAATGGCATTGTATTGTGACAACTGATTTGTATATAGTGTTTTCGTTTTCCATTTCAGTCATAAGTTGGCTAAACTGCTACTTTATTGCTTTTTATGCATGTTGTTTGCTATTCAACATGATGGCTGTACTTTGTTAATAACAACACTGCTTTCGCCTTCCACCGTTTTCTGTTGTGCGCTTATTGTTTCCACGTTACTTATCCCACCGTTTTCTATTGTATGGAAAATGCTATCTAATTACACTGGAAGTAAGCGGCCGTTGAAAACACTTTACACTAATGTTTTATCAAATATTACTATCTACACATAATCACAATTTTGTTTGAACACAAAATTTTAAATTATTAAATTATACTCCCTCTGGTTTTTATTAAACTTCACACTTTCCTTTTTGGGACGGTCAAAAATAAACTTCACACTTCCTTATTTCCTTTTTTGGCAAAGAAATCTACATCAAAACAGTGTCAAACAGTGCCAAATGGTGTCTCAACAGTGCCAAACAGTGCCAAACAGTGCCAAACAGTGTCTCAACAGTGCCAAACAGTGCCTTAACAGTGTACACTACAGTAAAGTCAAATTTCTTTCCTTATTTTGTGTGAAGTCAAAGTGTGAAGTTTAATAAAAACCGGAGGTAGTATTATTAATGGAGCATAAGCTTTTGGTAACTGACCACCAAATTAGAGATATGTGAAACATGTATTTCTATTAGTGGCTCAACTGTGCCGCCAATTTGAACGGGGTTCATAGAAAAAAAAAGAATGAAAACTTTCAAATATGGTGAGTATAAGTTGGGTATAAGAGTGAGTACATTAAGCATTGTTGTTTGATAAAAACAACATCCAAACAAGAGGCTAGTTTTTATTTGAAGACTAGCAAATAGAGAGATCGTTGACACAAAAACTGGTCATTCTCCCTTTTCCACAATAAAATTTACTCTGTATATAAGTAGTACCAAATTAGATATAGAATTAACCGAGTGAGATAGTTTGATTTGGGCAATTGCAAGGCATATTCGAAATATGCAAGACTTGGTAACTTGCTTTTAACAGGCGAGTTTGTTAATCCTGGGGTTTGATTTACCGTGCAATAAAGGGTGTTAGCCTAGTTATAGAAAAAAAGGAAATTTTCCAAGAGTAGAATAAGAACAATGGGATCTCCCTAAATAATATTCTCCCTAAATGTGAGTAAATTATTATCAAACATATTAATGTTATAATTAAAAGTACTTTTCTACATGACAGTAATTACTCATATTTATTGAATATTCTAACTCGGCAATTTCTGAAAAATCCCATCATAAGAAGATCTTCTCTTCCCTTAAAAAAACATCTTCTCTTCGTGAAACATGCTTGAAAATCCCAACCAACCCTAACTGCTAGCAAGGATGAATGATTAGAGCATCTTTAATGGGGAAGTGGATTATACCCCATTAAAAATGGATACATCACATGTATAGAATCCAACACTAACTGATAGCAAGGATGAATGATTAAAGTATCTTTAATGGGGAAGTGGATTGTACCCCATTAAAAATGGACACATTGATGTATAGAGAGCCCGTGAAGCTGATATGGACACACACGTTTAAAATAATATCTTTGTGCTCCAATGGAAATGCGAGTTTAAGGACCAGTATGGTTGGGGGATTTCGGAGGGGAGGGAAGGGGATGATTGATTTTTTATTTTATTAATTTATCTGATTTTTTTAGTATTAAACTTCAAATAACTATATAATTAGTAACCATGTATTTTTATATACTATTTTGTCTTCACTTTATTTGAATTTGTCTAAATGGAAAAATTATTTTAAATTTAAATGACTCCTCCCCTCCCTTTCCTCCTAAATCCACCAACCATACAGGGGGTAAGAGTTAGTTTCCTATTCATACGCAAAGTACATGACTAAAAAACAATCTCATGTTGTTATGTAGTGACACTCTTCTTCTAGCTTTCTTAAAAAAACAGATATGCACGATTTTATTTGTACGCCAAAACTGTTGCAACTCTTCTTCTAGCTTTCTTCAAAAACCAAAAAAAGGATGACACCCCATCCCTGAGGGCCCCCAACACCGACCGGACTGCATGATGAGAGGATGTAAATTGGACTATAATCACAATTTGACAGATAGAGAGTGAGGCTCTGTCTCCGGTACTTGCAGAGGCCCTATGCATTTTTCAGCATAGTAACCCCTCATCGCAGTTGCCGAGATTCGAACCCGAAACCTAACCCTTGTGGCACTCCCTCGCTACCAGTTGAGCTACGCCCACCGGTAAAAAAACTACGTATATGATTTTATTTGTACCACACAATAATTGCAGATCTGCTCTTGGAAAAATTGCATATATAACACACATAAATAAACATATGCATATACGCTACTACCATGTTTATACTTTATACGAAGTATTAGGGGTGGACCGGTTCCGGGCCGGGCCCGGTTCGGGCCTTGAACCGGCCGGGCTTGGTTCAAGGTAGGGGAGGCCCGGAACCGGCCCGGGTAACCCTGGGTCCGGTTCGGGCCGGGCCGGGCCCGGTTCGGTTCTATATATATATATATATATATATATATATATATTTTGGGTTTTCCTAATCAACCCCCTACCCTCCCCCTCAACCCCAAACCACCTCAAATGGCCCAAAATACCCAATCCAAGTATCCAACCCAAAAACTTAAAAACAATTAAAAAAAAAAAATTAAATTCGGCCCGAACCGGCCGGTTCACCAAAATGAAGGCCCGAGCCCAGAACCGGTAACTACCGGGCCGGGTCGACCCGAATCGCCCATGGGCTGGGCCGGTTCAAACAGTGACCAGTCCGGGCCGGGCCGGTTCCGGTTTGGGCCGCCCGGCTCGAGTCCAACCCTACAAAGTATATATGAAAGTGGAGGAAGTGGGTGTAAATGATTTATTTTAATTATTTATACGAGACATTAGAATAGTGCAATGATAATTTTTAAGCCTAATTATTACAGAATGTGATATTATTCCGCCTCAATTACTGCTAGATACTACCTCCGTCCCAAATTGATTTGCAAATTTGACTTTTCTTGGTCAAACAGTTTCATTTTATTCGCTTAATTAGGATGCCAATTTTTTATTATATTCTAATTTGGTGTTTATAACTTTGAAGAGATTTTAAAGTAGTTTCTGAATATATAAATTTTACTTATTAAAAATTGAATTAATTATCAATACGGAGCATTGACTTTTACCATTGATTGACCGAAAAATGTTGACTTTGCAAAACAATTTGGGACGGAGGAGTATCAATTTCCATAGAGAATTATACGGAGTTTTCGCTGAGTCATATATTGTTTTATAGGCCTTCTGAAAGTAGGTGTACCGCACGATGTTTACTTTTTACACATCCAACTCAGCATCATCACCAAAATAGACATTCACATTGGAGAGAGTATTTTTATCTCAATGTCTATTTTGTGTGTGGTAATGCATTTTAACCAATTCATATTGCCACTAAAGATGCTCTTATATCTCTTCTTTCAAGTCAATGAAATACATTTGAAAAAACATCTGGATATCCGAGTATGGAAGATTATTACGGGATGAATTAGACTTTTACTGGATCATAGATTGATTAATGAAATACTTTTTTCCATCTATTATATAATCACACTTAAAGGGTTATCCAAACCATTAATGGAACACCCTTGAAGGCAGAATACCTTGTCCAAAAATCAAAGAGTATAATACATAATATGAATAGAATGCTGCTCGCTATAATAAATTCACACACTGCTAGGAGCATACAACAAAGAGTGCTGTAAACAACAAGGCAGAGCAATATGAAATCAATCAATCAAACATGACAAAACAAAGAGAGTTGAGCAGCTTTGATGTTGTAACACCAAGACTAACTACCCATCTATTGAGAAATAGAAAAAGGAGATATATTATAACTATGCAGTTACAAAGGATCAAGTGGCTCATGTTTTTAAACCAGAGATTGAGTACATCTCATGTGGCTATTTCCCTACGGAAAACAAATACTTGACCAGATAATCTAATTCTGTGTGCTTCTCAATGAAAATCAGAATCTACCATACTATATGGTTCAGTCTACCAAAACTGCATCCGCAGATGAGGCTGCTGCTTTCTTCCCTGTGTATCGCTGGACAAAACAGCTACATATCCTTAGTGGTCATTTAGCAGCCCTTTTTTCACCTTATTAGACTTGTTAGTTTTTTTTTTTTACAGAATACTGATCTAATTGATGGCATGCCAAATGGGTTAACAATGAGATGTATGTCTAAAGGTACTTCTTTAAAGCTGAAGTTGCTGAAATGACCAATTTAGCAATTCTTTTCAATTTTTCATATATAAATTCATTTTTTAATAGGATAGATTTAAACCTTCTTATTTTAACTGTTTGAGCCACAATTTTGCCACTTAAAGCTTTACCAAATATGTTCTAAAGTCATTACTTGATCCGGAGTAAAAAGTGCGAACCTCACCTTGAAAATCGATATACAATAAGTTCAAGGAATACCTGCTTTCCAAATGTGAAGGGGACATATTTGTATTTCACCATGTGCATTATCTGCCTCTTCATCGTCGTGATAAAGAGCACAATCCAATAGAACAATAGAATTGGCCAAAAAACAGGCACATCAAAAGCACTGAAGAATGTCAACACAAAAGCAATACAGAATGCCTTTGTCAGTGAATGCCTGTCATTACAAAGTAGAAAAGAAAACCATCAAATTTCCCTCCCCCATTTTTAGAAGAATGATGCATTTTCAAACACTACCGGTGAATATATTCACTCAAACTAAAATCGAGCATATATCAAGTCATCAAAAACAATTAATTGGTTTTGTATGATTAATGTAAATATTGTAAATACAAGGATGACTTCAATCATCCTTTACTCGTATTAGAGGTTAGTGGGAGATAGGGTAACAATCTAACGACACACACACAATATGAGACCTTTGTGCTTTGTCCTTCACAAATCAGAGGGTGTTTGAATCAATTTCTGAAAACTATTTCTGCTCCTTCAGAGAACAGACACATATACTAAAAATTATTCAAATTCTACTTAAAAAAAAGCCGAAGCAGAATCAATTCCAAACACTTCTTCAAAGCATCACTTTCACCATTTCTTAGTACAAGTTGAACTGTCGTTGTGTTCTAAGATTAATCTATTGGACTTATTTATGTCACTAACATATTAGACCACACATAATCAAACTAGACCACAATTTAAACTGACCATACCAGACTTGTACAAACCAAACGATATTATAGTATATTATACTCCGAAGTATATTTTTAGACCATTGAGCGACTGTTTCCTATGACCATTGTGGCAAATTGTCATAATTACCACACCTATCTCGTCAAGGAAATAAACAATCCATGTGTTATTCCTAAATTCCACATAACAGTTTAGAATATAACTCCAAATAACCTTTGTAAGACAGCTCAAATGATATTTCTACCACATACAAACGCTTGTCCGTTTATTCCCAAATGAGGAGGGCACCCACTGTAAAACTTTAAAGCTACAATTCTATGAATGAATTTATACGTAGTACTTTATAGTGTTATACGTAGTATAATTTTATCGGACAATTAATTAAGAATTCAAATCTGAGAGAACGAACCGAAAATGGTTGGGATTAAGGTCCCAATGATGATGCAAATCCAAAGCTTTGAGTTATTCAATCATCAATTACCACAAAATTTTAAATTCAGGAATCCAAGAGTCTTGGAAATCGATTCTACCGCCCAGATCGGGTCCTATACACTAAGCTTCTCCATTCAAGATATACTTGTAAATACATCCGAGGTATTTGATGACAAAACAAATTTTGGTTGATTTGCTAATTTACAAGCAATTAGTTCGACAAGCGTACGGTTGAAAATTCAGATAGCGTTTATGGATAAAAATACACGAACCAGAACTTGAATTCAGGGAGGCGTCGAACGAAAGGGCGAAACTCGTCGGAGCCCCGGGTGGGGAGAGTAGGACCTTCGGAAAGCTCGTGGATCTCGGGATCAACCTGCGGGGAAAGGAAGGCGAGGAGGAGTTGGATGATGTAGATACCGAGTGCGTAGGTGATGATGTAGAATCCTTGGACTAGGTACACCCGCAAAGCATAGATGAGCACCACAATAGAAAAGATGATCCAGCGGCGGAGCACTAGCGGCGTCGACTTGTCTAGCATGTGTTGGTACTGCCTCCAGAGGGTAAAGCTCCATCGCGACACGGCGGAGGCTCCATCGTCGTTGGCGGTTCCGCCACCGACATTCATCATTGCCGTTTTCTCTCTGTATTTTCCGTTTTTTTTTCCTTTTTCTTTTTCGGAGGTCTGTTTTAGGATGAAGGAGGTTAACGCCTCTTTTCGTTGAACTGTTTTACTGCAATTGTAATTGTAATTCTATACTAGACGTCTAAAGCAATGCCCCAATTACCTATTACGGATATTTTCATTATTTTGTTTACTCATAGCTGGCCCTATGGGCAAAGGGCTGAGCCCAAGTTCAAGACTGGGCCGAAATGAGTTAGGCTCCGAATCAGAATCACCAAACTGGATCAGAAGAATTTTGGTTCGAGATCGGAATAATTATTTCTGCTTTGACTGGATGATTGGGATTTTATTATGGTTTGGTTTTAAAATCTTTCATCTTTTAAAAAATAATTTTGGTTGTCTAGAAATGACCCCTTTTTCTGAAAATGACTTGTGTCCGAATTAAAAAAATTGAGAATAAAGTAGAAATATATTGTTATAGTTAAATAATAAAAAGATAAGTGAATGATAGTCTCACAAAACTTTGCAAAAAGAATAATTTTAGAACACTCCAATGATAAATGAAGTTTTTTATGGATCCTAGATAAACTTGACCATTTATGGAAAATACTAAATCAAGAGGGTTACGATTTCACCAACTGACGATAATTTAGATGTGCAACGGACGTGGCAGTAGGAGAGTACCACCTTAATTCGTGGCCAACTGCTAAAAAGCCACCGCATACATATTTTTTTTGTCAAAGAAAAAATTCTTGTATATATAGCTATAAATATAAATGATAAGTAAATATTCAGCAGTTGCATGTTTAATGCTTGCTAACAAGTGCCTCTTAGCTTATTCCTTCTCTTTGGCCGTATCGAGAAGATAACGAGCGTGCAGCTTTAAATTAGAATTAGCACTGAATTATGAATGCTTCCAAGGTATTCCGTATAATTAAGGATAATTTATAATTTTATATTGAAATTTATAGTACCTTTGACGCATTATTATTATTGTTGTTGTTGTTTTCCGAAGTAGATTATTCGTATTTTCAAGTAATAATGCTTTAATTTATCGTCATAGGTTGTATTGTCATGCTTTGCTTCCAAGTGTACTAATTATCTTATTCGTAAAATAAGATTCAGTCATCCGTAATTTTGAGAGTAAACAGATCTTGTTTTACCTAAGTGCTTTTATTTGTACACATTCTATGTTTTCGTCCTATTTGATTAGTTATAGTTAATGTTGTTTTGCTAATTAAAAACATGTATTAAATACATAAATGATTTTGCTTAATTAGGAAAGGGAGTACATAAATGAAGAAGGTGCCGTGGAGACAAAGGTGGAGAGCACAAAGTATGAGTCACCTCCCGGGCGAAAGGAGGCGCCTCGGGAAGGGAAGGTGGAAGTGACACATCTTTATCGCACTGATGAGAACTCTGGAGTAGGCGGTGCCATGACTGATGCAACTACTAAATTGGCTGAAAAAGTTGATTCCGCTAAGGAAGCAATTTGTGGAACCAAAAAAAAAAAAAAAAATGATGGGAAAACGGATTGATTAGAGACAGGACATGGATTCTCTGTAATGGATTGCACAAATTTTCCTTTTATTTATTAATAGTAAGTACTATTTTCATAAAGTGTACTGTGTACTATTTTATGTATAATAGTTGTTAAGAATATCATTTGGTATAAACTATATGTGATGTAAACTATATGTAGAGTATGAGAAAAAAAGAGTATATGTAACTTGATGTTTGGTGATGGAGTGTTTTGAATGAATATCAATAATGTTGATTGTTAATTAGGTGAATCAATCCTACCTTTTAAATGTATTTTCTCACACTAAGATCAAGTTGAATATAATAATTTTTTCCAAACTACTACGTATAGCTTACATCACATTATTATAACCTATAATTGACGAATCACTAACATACGTAGTATATAATTAGCTAATGGCTAAAAAACAATTACGAAAGAACATTGATAGCTATAGAGAACCAAAATTGAAACACAAAAATTGTAACTAAAACTATTAACGCCTTGGAACAAGAGTAGCATTCCAAATATTTTCCAAGCAGGCAATATACAGAAATTTGGATTTAAAAATTAAAAGAAAAATTGTGTATGCCGCAAAACTCGTGGAAGGATATGTGACACCAAAACAATTAAGTAGGAACACGTAAAGTAGTGTTGTTTGAAAGTCTCGTGTTGTTAGTATTGTATGATAGTAACAATGATTTGTTCTTTAGAACGGCATGGGCCAGCATATGGCCCAATCGGACGTAGCTCTCGGTGGTGAGATGAATCCCGTCCGGCCCAATTGGCAGTCCATCGGCATCCACCTTTATCACATTTGGCAAGTCCAGTTCCTGTTGAGCTTTCCTCACATCTTCTATGAATGGTCCTTCAAATGGTGGCTTTGGCGTCGGTATGATTACCTATTACGGAGTATATGTTTTCAATCAATTTATAATGCATGTAGTAACATTTTACTCTATCCATGAAAGAATAAGATGGTTGACTTTATTATCCTTTGTCATCACAAAAAAATAATGGGATTGACATAGATTTGGCGCAAATTGATTGACAGTTCCATGCTAAATACCATGACAGAATGGCCTTGACACGAATTTAACGTATCCATCCCGCTAAATCACTACTTTTCTAGACATAGCTCAAAATAGGATCAAAATATAAGCAACATTTTAAAATAGGTTATCCTATATTTTCTTCTTAAAATACGAGTTATTTTATTTTGTTCTAATAGCGCCAACTCTTATTCGAGAAATTTTAGAATGGTTTACTGAGACTTATTTAGTGAATTTTTTAGTGCTCCTTTTCAACGTTTGAGATGGCAAGACTACAAAAATTTTGGTGAAATTCACGAAATACAAGTGAAAGTTTTTGAAATTTTAAAATAAGACTGATATGTTTTTATTTCCCAATTAAGTATAATACTCCCTCTGTCCTTCAAAACAGTTCTCATTTTCCTTTTTGAAAAAATTTGTGTCATTCACATTCATTTACTTTTTTACTCAATCACAACTATATATTTCCTCTTTATTCATACTTTCTTAAACTCCGATCCAAGTCAATGCGAAAACTATTTTATGGGACGAATGGAGTAATTGTTAACCTTGAAATATAATACTCCGTATCATGTTTAAAGACCGGTATAGTAATATAAAAAAATATACAAGTACTAATTGCTTCTATTTAAGAAAAATACTGTCATATTGAAACTCCTGATTTTAAAAAATGTAATAATAATTTGTATTTAGCCAATAACAGTATAATAGTATTAATTAAAATATAATAATCCTTCATTTATGAGAGTTTAAGATACCTCGAACCAGGGAAGCATGGGCAATTGCAAATCAGTGCGCAACCTCGAAATCAACCGCCGGATATTCTGTCTATAACTCTTAGCGAAACCATAGTACTTACAGTCACTCTCGCCTTGGTACCACAGCACCGCCCTGAGCACCCCACCCGTCTTCAGCGACGCTCTCGTCCTCCCCAGCAAACTCCGGTAAGGGTAATCCGTGTCGCTCGTCCAGTTCTTCAACGACGTCCCGCCGGCGGCGCAGGGGACCAGGCCGACCGTCCCGAACCCCGGGTCCAACGCCAGCAGCTTATTCGCGAACGCCATTCCGATCCCGACCCCGCATGTTATTGTGCACCCAATCCCGGCGTGTATCGGTTCTTCCGCTATCTCCCACTGGAATTTCTCGTTGAACCGGTAGACGTTCGGATTCCGGCCACTCTCCGGCGGGACGGTGCCGTCCCATACTCTTATGCTCTCGTTTCCGATCATCTTGGGCACCACTCCTCCCCGGCCGGCCATGTTGCTCTGCCCGGCCAGCACTATGATGTGATTCACGCGCCGCCGTTTGTTTGCTTCCAGAAGGATCATCTCTCTGCTGGGAAGGATTGTCCGCCAGAAGTACAATAGGAGTAACAATATTGTCAAGATTGCCAGCCCGCTCCCGTTTTTCAGTGCCCATGCGTTTGTCTTCCCGTTCATTTCCATCTTCAATCCTATAATTCATATCCCCTATTTATTCAAACTCAATATAGTTTGGAAATATGTTAAAGAGATTGAATCAAATACAAATGGTCCTCATGAAATGTATGTAGATATTAGCATGGAACATCGGATTTAGGACCGAATGACTCTAAATGTATAAAAATTAAAGAATGCATTAAAGTGGAATAGTGAATGGAAATGCGGTAACATTTTTGTAAATCAATCATCAAAGTTTTTTTGTTGCAAAAAGCGGACTTTCGGATTGCAATAGTAGTGTACCATAAATGATCAAAAGTGATTGTACTTGTGTTAGAGTTTTCTCCTGCAAATGAGTTATAGTCTTGTGCTTATGCTCATTATTTAGATGTCTTGATTGGACTGGTTTTAGCATCACACCGAACAAGATTAGATCATATATTATTAGACTAGACCGACCATATTTTGACAATTTCAAAGTACAAACATAACAAACATCTATCAGATCAAACCAAACTAAACTAGTTTAGATCAGATCAGACCGGTCTAGATAATTACAGTCCAACGAAAATCATCCTTTAGTCCTATAATTTTACATATTTGCAAATAATGTATTATATGTGACGAGAAAAAGTTATCCCAACAGTAATTTTCAACTTTGCCACAATGGTATATCTAGTAGAAAAGGTATAAATATATACAAACGTTTTAATTACTGGACATGATCAGAAAATCAATAAAAGTAGTGGTCTAATAATATTGGGCACACATGACATAAAATAGAGGTTAAAATGAAAAAATATTTACCGTGCTGTAATATACTTCGTATGTATATATACTACCTACTTAGTGGATTGACTCCTAACTGAGCACAGAAAGCAAATCCAGGAGGGATTTCTTGTAGATGTAACAAACTGAAAGCATAAGTATTGTAACAATATCGTTGTAAATATTTGTAATAGTACAATAATCTCTATTATATACTTATCGGATGTAAATAGTGCATGCACTGCCAAGATTTTTCAGATCAAAATAACACAGTTCACTTGGACTTTTCATTTAAGGAAATTAAACAATAAGATGAATGTCTTAATCTACATACATTCTTTGCTTCTTAAATCGAATCCCTCGTTTTAATTGATTATCCATGTGTGCATTGAACATAAAAAAAAAGAACATAAGTGTGATCATGTATGTTGACACTGTATAATTACTAACCCTTTTCTAATAAATACACTTCCTTACTAGCTTATTGTAAGTTAAATATCAAAATGAATGAACAGATCATATAAGAGCCTGCATGCACCATGGTGAATGAAAGAAAATCAGTGTTGGATACAAGTTAACTTTGGCCAACTTAGTTCGCATCCCAATTTAAAGAATTTTGACCGATATCAGGTTTACTATATTGCAGGTAAGAATCCTATATACTTCCGGGTTCCTATTTTCGAACTAGTTTGAATGTTTATAAATCGAAAAGTTAGACTTTTAACTTAATTTAAAAGAAAAACAAAGTTGAGAAATCAATTGCTCATTTTGGCCCATGTTTAAACTAACTAGAGCTGATTCATCTCAACACTAATTTTGAATCTAGAGTAAACTTTATGCTAAGTTTTGGAGTGTAAAACCAAACAAACTCAATTCTAGTTCTCAACAACATCATGTAATCCTTCCTTTAGAGAGAAGATTAGAGTGACAAGCGATATATGAAGAGGGGGAACGGTTCAATAATTGGACCACCTCGCACATTTTGATTCCTCTCTTGTGGGAGGTCTTGAGTTCAAGTAATCTTGAAGGAAAAGGCATGGGGTATATTGTCACATGATGCCCATCTAGCTCTATGCGGGTAAGTTCAGAAAACCACTCAAATTTTCTTGGAAGCATAGTGATAGCTAAGCCAAAATACTAGCGCTATGAATAGAGAAGACAAAACTCGAAAGTTAGAGAGAGAAGAGTGTATTGTCTTCATGAAGTTTCAAACGTTACATCTTTTTAAAGAGGGCTATTTATATTAGTCATAAATGCTAAGTGCATTAAATGTGTGACACATGTAAGGTAGTCTATGGCGGGAAGCTCTGATGTAAGATATAATCGGGTATGTGCGATGCATTAAATGCACCTGCTGAGTGCTAAAGAGTAACATACCGAGAGTCCTTAGAATGAGGCCGAGGGGGAACATGCCGAGAGGTCGCATAAGTGAAAAAATATTATCGGGACAAATTTGTAGTAGTCCATTCTCTATGTTGTTGTGACCCATGTTTGTCGATTGCCCACCTAGGGGTGGTTGCTTACTTGTTGGGCTTTTGTTTGTATAGTTCGAGTGTGTGAGCAAGGAGGCCCGTGACCAGATACTCCACCACTTAGCTTGAAGTGTTGGACAATAAGTGTCGGTTGTGATCTTGAGGGAGCAAGTTAGTTTTAGGCTTGTTGTAGCGAAGGTATAGTACCATTGTTGTCTAGATTAACTATTTGCATCTATGTTTCATAATTGGTTGAGATTATAACTTAGAGAGTAAAAACTAATACACAATTTTTTCCCAAAAAATAGAGACCTTACTTTGAGTCAATAAAAATAAACAAATAAGTGCAACAATGCTACTTGAAAACCAAAATATTTCTGGATACTTGTTTGTGGATTAGAGTTTGAAATGTTTTTTTAAGTGTGTATGAATGTTTGTTTAATATTTAATTGATACTAATGGATAAAATTTGGAATATTAATTTTAAATGAATTGAATGAGTTAGATAACCCTATATGCAATATCCAAAGATGAATTCTTCGGGAGTTAAGAGTGATCTAGTCCTCAAATCTCTTAGAAATTGAGTAAAGTAGTGTAAGTAATTTCAGGAAATCACCCTTCCATTCAGATCCCAATAGAGTATGGCAACAATTATCATCAACTACTTCTAAGTGGATTTCAAAATGCCTATAACCAATTATTACAATGACAGATTTAAACTACATCTCCGGTGGTTAATTAAAGTTAAGGTTTAAAATATAAATATCTCCTCAACCTTTTCATCTTTAATGCATAAAATCATATTATATGTTGTATTCACAATTCTCTAAGATTATGATAGTATGTGTGAATAAATCATAGTATATTCCATAGAAAGTACAATTTCATAGCTAACGATGCTATGAGTATCATGCATAATTTGAATGTGCTCTTATTCTCGCATAGCATAATATTTTGACTTGCTATATCTACTTTTGGACAAAAGCTGTCAAGTATAAGGTCTCATTTGGTAATCCTTTTTTCAGCTTATCCGTTTTATGCTCTTATCAGTCAAGTTGTTATCAAACACGTAGTTTTTGACTTCACACGCTGAATTGTGTAATAATCAAGTTAAGTAAGGATCAAGTTACGTTTGTGCCTGAATTGACTGAAGCTATCTTATAAGACGATTTAGCTATTTTATGTATATTTTCCTCAATTTTATTAATAAAATATATTTTAAGTACAATTTTTGCACAATTTAATAGATTCAGCCAAATCAGTTATAAATTCATAAGTTTCAACAGATTCAGCATGCAGATTCAACTAATTTAAGTGTTACCAAACAGACTCTAAATATTGTATTTAATGCATCTTTCCTTTATTTTTAACTCCTTATACATCAAGCTCTATACCAACTTCTAGAACATTTCCCACAAAACGCCTCAACATAAAATTTTATATTTGTTCAACAAAAATCATATATCAACAAAGTATAAAAAATATCACTCTCCTTGTCTTTGAACTCAACAATAATATTCTGTGTGACATAACACAAACGGAAAGGAACAAACAATAAGTGTCTATGAACTGATATAGGACATAGAGAATATATCCACATTAACAAAGAATAACAGTTTATACAGACAATGAATAGAAACCCTTTATTATTTAGACCACCAAAACATTATATGTGTAGCACGCGTTAAATTGATGTAGAACAAATCCATAAAAACCAACTGTTTGTGAACACATACAACACCAAATACAAAACATTAGAGGTGAGCAAATAATTGAGCAAAATGATAAAACGGAAGAGTGGATAACAACATCACTTTTTATTTGGTTAATACTCGATTTGGAACTCGGAGTTTGGTTGATGGTCGGATAACCCAGACACAAGCCCCTATAAAAATAAATAAATCCCCAAGGCCAAGACAAAAAAGCATAGTCAGTTGTACTCATCAACATACATTTTTCCATGTCAGCTGAATACCAATTAGTCATTCCCTCACCTTTACACCAATATTAACCTTTATTGCTCAACTCCTCAAGAAGGCAAGGAATAAGATATCACCACTCTTATGCTCAAGTCTACAACAAAGAAGTGAGTATGCTACTACAAATCTCGACCGCTTAGGGACTCCAAATTTGATCAACCGAACAAATTTAGTTTTGCTCTTTTTTATTAATTTGTGCAGAAATCTTCCTTATTTATTGACTTTTGTATTTAATTATTTTTTCAATATTTATGTTTATTTTTAAAATTTCTTTGTTAGATTTGTTAATAAAATTAAGTATGATGCCTTATTTATTGACTTTTGTATGTTAGCTATGGAGTGTAACCCATCCCATAGTTTTTTTTAAAAATAATTTACCAATCTTTCTATGCATTCAGAATATTTTCTATTCATCATCTTCTTTATATACCCTGTTAATTTTTTTTTGGTAATTATGCATGAAAGATTTATGTACAAGAAGTGTGAGTGTGGAATAATTTCATGTGATCTATTTTCAAAGTGTATGAAAAATTGAAAGTGTTCTTTATGGTATTATAATTTATTTTTAGTTTGGTAATTTTTAATTTAGATTTTAATTGTTAATGCGGTAATGCTAATGTAGTGGATGAATAGTGAATTGTTTTTCAGTTTTTAGGTTGTTGTTTGTAGGACTTTATGTTATGTCCTATTTAAGTCTAATATGATCTAGTTTAATCAGATTCGGGACTGATATAATTTCAATTAAAAACGTGAGAGAAAAAAGAAGGCACTAAACAACTTTTTTGGCAGTGAAATTTGTACATCATACGAAGTATATACCAAAAAAGGGGGAAGGAAAGTTAAATCACCCAAGTAACGCTCATTAGCAGCCTTTTTATGAGCAAGATATTCCTGATCAATTGATCATTAACATTACTCGACCTAATGATACTGTAATAAAAGGCTCAAAGTGATGAGAAGAGAAAAGCAGAAAGAAAGGTGTGGTAATGATATGGTCAGCAACACGGCAGCGCTGCTGCGGTTATCGCTTTCGTTGTGGTTGCCGTTGGTGTTGGTGTTGTTGTTGTTGTTGCTGCTACTAATAGTTTGAAGGTGGAGAGGAGGCGGAGATGGACGAAAGAAAGCTTCAGCCATCATCTTCCCAAGCTCAACCTCAGCTGCAGTGGTGAGGTGGACAGAGTCGTAACCAACCTCCAAACCTTTGGCATCCACCGTTTTCACTCCGGGAAGGCCGACTTTGAGCTGTGCTTCCCTCACAATGTCCATATAAGGTCCTTGTTTAGTTGCCAAAGCCACCTATTTATTTATATATGTATATACAAAACTAGCCACCATTTATAATCATTTTATATGTAGCTTAGATTAGGAGGCGTATTATGAGTAGCAGAGTAGGTGGTGGATAGTTGAATGCTTATTATGCTCTCGTTGAAAATGATATTATACAGGAGAGTTTTTTAAGATTGTTTCGTTTTTTTAACTCTTAAAAGTCAGTTTTGCAAAGATTTCATTGAATACTTGTCACTGTGGGACTTTTACTAGTAAATCACTAGGATGCATGTGGGTTTGGTATGCATTTTAAGAAAATAAAGGATAAAATAATTGTTTTACATTTCTAACCTCCAAAAAGTAATAAATACAAAAATAAATTCACAAAAAGTAAAGGTATAAAGGGATAAAGTCAAAAAATAAAAAGTTAGTGGAGTCCAAGAAAGTAATCATATTTTTGACACAACTCAAAAAGGAAAGAAAAATTTACCTCCTATATAATTAAGCCATTTTATTTCCTATTATGACTTATATGACAATACATGTCATCATATCATATCATATCATCTGTCCATTTTTAATTTTTTTCGTTTCAGAGTTGCCCTTGTACTGTAAACATTTGAAATATTTAAAAGGCTACTTATTTTATACATATTGATACCATAATTATTCTGCATTCATTAAGAATTGCACTAAAATAGGCAACTGAATGTTCTATTATAATCATGATACATGTGAGCTTGTATACTACACACCTAATTGTATGGGTGAGAACCATACAACTAGGTATTTTTGTGATTTTGTTTAACTTTCAACGATACAACATATGTGTGATATTGTAAATGAGCATAACAAATACTTCATATAAGTATACATTCATTATGAGTATATATATTTGAAATGATTTTTTACATTATACTAATATGAGTATAATACTTTCAAGAAATGTGTATTGACACAATGTTTTATGTCAATTGAGCGTCAATGCACTTTAATTGAGCATATAACATATTTTGTTGAGTATTAGAAGTCTATTATTGAGTATTATGGTCTTTGCTTTATATGTTCTAATTCACTTTCTTTTTTCTTATTTTTTCTTTTAATGCAACAAAAAATCAACAAAGATTTACCCAAATCAAAAAATCAAATTCATAATTTTTAAAAATGCCTACTACGTCTACCATCTTTGTCCAATTTTGACTTTCTT